GAGGGCCCGGAAGCCTCGGCCACGGGCTCCTGACCCGCATGCGGGCCGCCTCGCCTCTGCCGCGGCCGCCCCGCTCCCCCGAGCCCCTCCGGGCCGCCCGGGCGCTGCTTCCCGCCGGGTTGTGGGCCCCTCGAACGCGACGAAACGTCTGACAGCTGGGACTGCTGCTACCTCTCCGGCCATCTTGTGCCGTGTGTGGTGTCTCTGCCGTCTCCTCTCTCGGCTTTACTCCCTCCTCCTCCTCCCCCCGCCCCACACACCACACAACATGGCCTCTTCGCTGCGGCGGCGGCTGCGGCGGCAGAAGGAGCTCCGCGGTGCTCCAGCTCGCTACCCTCCCCCACCCTCCCCGCCTCCCGCCTGCAGTCCCGGGGCCCCAGTGCGCACGCGCGCCGCCGCCCGTCCGCCACGGCCATTGGCTGCGTCGGCTTCCTGCCATAGCTTCCCGGGAGCGGCCTCGCGCACGCTCGCTGGCGTATTTCTCTACACTATTGGTTAGCTCTGACCCCACCCCGTCCACCGCCTCCCCACTGATAGCACGATTTGTTGTCAATCATCCCTCGTGGGCGTTTCCTGGCTGTCCTGAGAAGTCCCAGCCCGCGATTGGCAGATGATGAAACCTTTGGGTTTGCAGGGCAGTCGTTGCTTTCTGCCCCGCAGTGCGGACCCCCGGAGCCAACTGGTGGGTTTCTGGTGCAGGCTAAGCCAGTTCAGATTTGTTAATACAGGACTCCACGGGTAATGACTTCTTTGGAGAAAGCTCAGGCTTCGATGTTTCTGAGTTCAGATTATTTTCCTTTTTAAAGGAAGAGGGAGGGGTGAGGAGGTGATGATGACATGATTGACAGGATGATGAGCAACCCAGATACATGTTCTTAATTCTTGGGCAAGCAGCCTTATCCCCAGCATTTTTTTTTTCCTCAGCAACCAGACCTACCTTCAGGGTCACAGAGTCAGAAGCAGTGGTTTTATGACCAGCACATTGCCTAACCTAGTATCTGACTTGAGATACCATGTATGTGAGACTTTGTATGCCCCCCGCCCCCGCCCCGTGACTCTCCTAGACAGTCGTATTAGCATGTCCAATGTTCTGAGGCCTTAATGAACCAGTCTCATAATTCTGATTAGCTGGCTTCCATACACTAGGGCAGTGTCTGTTAAAATGGTAGTTTCAACCTGAAACCGTCTGCCTGTCCAACCTTCCCTCAGAGAATTAGGCAAAGCAAGCTTCATTTCTTCTCAGCAAACTCCACTTTTTTCCTTTACTTGCCGCTTCAGTCTGGAAACACCTTGAGGCAGACCACAGAAAGAAGTGAAAGTTGAAACTATCCACAAATAGATGGGAGGAAAAGTTGTCCTCTCCCAGTAGCAGTATGTTAAAATCTTATCCCTTTTGGCAAAGGACCTGAGGGAAGAGAAAAGAATTACATAAATACTATTGGTTTGATTTCTTGTTGTTGAAAAAGAGTCTGTGGGGTGAGGGGAGAACTGAATGTTAAACAAGCATGGAACCCTCAAAGTAGTTCTAGCCCCCTATTTAATGTTTTAACATTTGTTTTAGTGAGTGAGTGTGTGTGTGTGTGTGTGCATGTTCATCCATGGAACACGTGGAGGTTTGAGGACAACTTACAAGAGTCTAGTCTCCCTTTCCAAGATGGTCTTTGCAAGCTGGTCATTCTTGGCAGCATACTCTGAGCCGTTTCTTCTACAGAGGTTTCCTCACTAGGCATGATAGCTGATACTCATAATCCTAAGAAGAGGATTCCCAGAAGAGCTATACTGGGAAGATAGAAGCAGGTGAGAAGATAGTGGTGTGTTTGAAGCCACACTGGGCTACATAGTGAGTTCCAGGTCAGCCTGGGCTACAGAGTAAGTGCCTATCAAAAAACCAGAGACAACTGAAGATGTGACTCAGTTGGTAGAGTGCTTGCTTAAGATGCACTAGGTTCTGAATTCAAACCCTAGGACCACATAAAACAATATCCAGGTGCATACATATAATCCTAACAATCAAGAGGTGGAAGCAGGAAGATGAGAGGTTCAGGGTCATCCTCAACTACTTAAGAGTTCAAGGCCAACCTTAATACTGAGAGTCTGTCTCAAAAAAAAAAAAAAAAAAAATCACCCACTTGCACCAGAGCACACACAGCGGGGTACAGCAGCTAGTAGCATCTCCCTCTTCTCTGGGTGGCCCAGGAGTCTGTGTCTGTCCCATTTCCAACCTATTTAACTGTGTGAACCAAATGTTCATTAAATTCTCAAACCACCAAAAATATTTTGATTAAGTTTTATCCATTTAATTTCCAAAAGGAATTCTCTTACAGTCTAGTTCTGAGTATATGAGTCTTCAACATTTTCTCTAGTCCTACTCTGACCCCTTTGTCCTCATTCTTCCTGGTATGCTGGCCATGCTCTTATCTCCCTTTTCCATCATCTTATGTCCTTCTACCATTACCTAAAAACCCATCTAAGAGTCTGCCTTTCCAGATTCATCATCAAATACTTCTATGCCAGGAAAAAAACAGACCAGCAGTAAAAAGAGTAACGGCTGCCGGGTGTGGTATGCCACATGACTGTAATTACAGCACTTGACTGAGACAGGAGGATGGCAAGTTCAGGCCAATCTGGGCTCCATAACAAGACCCTGTCTTCCAAGTTCTACCATGGGCCAGCAAGATGATGCAATAGATAAGGGTGCTTGCCACCAAGCCTGTGACCTCAATTTTATCTCCAAAAGTCACATGGTAGAAGGAAAGAACCAACTCCTCCAAGTTGGCCTCCAATTTACATATGCCCTTGCACATACACACACACACACTATAAAAATTTTTTAAAAAACTTCTGCTGGAGAGATGACTCAATGGTTAAAAGCACATACTGCTCGTGCAGAGGATGCAAGGCTGATTCTCAGCAAGTGGGAAGCTCACAACCGCCTATAATTCCAGCTCTAGGGGGATCTAATGCCTCTGGCCTGTGCATGCACCTGCACTCATGTGCACATGCCCACACACAGACACATAACTAAAAACAAAATAAATCTTTAAAACAGTCTCAGTTCTAGGGCTGAGTGAGGTGGTTCAGTGGGTAAAGGTGCTTGCCTCAAAGCCTGACAACCTGAGTTCAATCTCTGGGACCCACGTGGTAGAAGGAGAGGAACAACTCCTACAAGTTGTCCTCTGACCTCCTCAAGCGTGTTGTGGTATGTCCATATACACACATACACACTAAAAGTAAAAATTTGTAAAATGTTTTAAGTTCTACCAATTCATTTATTTATTTAGGTGGTGCTAGGGATCAACCCCAAGATCCCACACATGCTAGTCAAGTGATCTGCCACTGAGCTGCTCCCCTCCACGGGGTCTTCAGTCTTCCTGATTTGCAGCTCCTCCCTGCTCTGCTTCGTAGAGGCTGTCAATGCTCAGAATCAGATGTCCCTCCAATTAAGAGATGTCAGATCCAATCTGACTTAATTCCCAGACCTGTGCCCTGACCTATGGCTGTCAGCCTCACACTTTGTCCCCTGTGAGCTGCCTACCTCACTTGTTTTGCTTTGGTTAGAGACCCCTATGCTTCAGCTGTAGAGTGGCTCCCTTTATAAAGATACACCTTGGGTGGATGCCTTCAAACAGCGTTCTTCTCCCAACTGTCCTGCATCATGTTCTCCCCCAGCGAAGCCCCTTATCTGCCACATTGAAACTTTGTTTCCCATTATAAATGTGGTGGTTTCTTTTTATTTTTTACATGTATTTATTGTGTGTGTGTGTGTTTATGTGTGGGCAAACTGTGGAGGTCAGAGGACAGCTTACAGTATTTGGTTCTCTCCTTCCAACATGTGGGTTCTGGGAATAGAACTCAGGTCATCCAGTTTATTGGCAAGTTCCCTTACCTACTGAACCATCTCACGAGCCTAGACACTCTAATTTCTTTTGCCACATCTATACATTTACCCATCCTTCCTTAAAGTGAGAAGAGCTCTGACCTACATTAAAAGGACCTGAAAAGACTACACCCAACCCCCTGCAGGGTTCCTTCCCACTCTAGCATTTGCCAAAGAACCTAGAGGGCATTCCTTCTTCCACTACTTAGACTGGCTCTTGGTACTGTTATGTTTGTTTCATTTTGTTTTGATTTGGTGGAATTGGCTTTGTTCTTTTTTGTTTCTATTCCTTTATTTTGTAGTGACAGAACCCCACAACGTAGCCCAGGCTGGTCTCAAACTCTCGATCCTCCTGTCTCAGCCTAAGTGCTGGTATTTCAGGCAAATGCAACCATGGACATCATACTGTTTTACTGCTGTCTTTCAACCTCAGCTCACCAAACAAAAGACCTGTGCATGTGCTCTGAGTAGGTCTGCTCCTGTTTAATAGAGTCTGAAAGAAAATCTGGTGTTCTAGTTTGCATTCAATTGGTGTGACAAAA